ACAGTAGAAAACCAATATGCTGAAAAGGACTCTATAAGGCTGAATATTGTGACAAATTGAATCCTTAAAGGCCAGTCTGGAATTCAGAGTAAAAAGATATGCATGAATTTAATCTTTTTTAAAACTTCTCATTAAGACATTAACTTCATAAGATATTTGTAGTATGAATCCAATTCTTTTATGGAGGAACCATTTGAAAATGCACACCTAACTTGACAGATCTCCTGTGTTAAAGATCAAACAAACAGTACCAGAATTTTGTGTATGTCCACTCTTCTGTTTCCTCCACTGCCACCTCTCCTATTTAGTGGTGCATCCATTATGCCCATTGTAATATCCTATATTTCAATCCATGTTTTGCCTCCCAGCATCTTTATTGTATTGCAGTCGATATTTTTTAATATTGATAGGGGACCAATAAAACAGTGAAAGGAATTTGAGAAGAAAATTCTGGGTATTGTTTCAATATTCCCAAACAGAGAAGTTTAGCAACACTCTCTTCCCGTACAAGACCAGCCCAGAGTTCTGGTTTGTTCTCCCAACAACCAGCCAACCCTCTCCCAGAGACCACCCTCTCCCATATACCCTAGTACCTCTCTCCTGATGTCCTCACAACCACGTAGGCAATTCTGTTGCAACAGAATCAGTGGGCGTGTGTCTGTGGACCCTAAGTAATGGGCTTCCACTTTCTCCTCTCATACACATTTTGGGCCTTCCTAATTTGCCCTTCTATTTCATTGTTTGTATGGTAAATAGAGCAATTCAAATTCAGTTATGGGAACCAATACTATCGCAATCAAAATATAAGGAGCACAGCAAAGAGCTGCACCAAAAATATAATTCATAATTGACTATCAGAATCAATACCATGCATTATACTTTAAAAAAAGTAAAATAGTACAAAATGAAGTATAACAATGGTTAAAGAAAAGCTAAATTTCTACTAGCACGAAGGATATAAAAGAGGAAAACAAAAAATCATGCTGGCAAATATAGAGGCTGTATTTTATAACTCACCATCATGGTCAAACACTACCTGCGGGTAAAAGAAACCAAACAATAGCCATAAGTTTAACTGATTATAAACATGAGAAGAAAGAATAAGATTGAAATAATAGGGAAAAAGATACTAACAATGAAAATATTTACGGAAATACAAGCTTCAGCACATACATAAATACAAGATGAACAAAACTTACCACCACATGAGAGGGGATAAATTCCAGAACATCAATTATCTGCAAGAACAATGACAAATAATGACTACATGTTAAAAACAACACATATCAATTGCACAAGATGAAAATAATGTGTCTAATCAACCACATTTAAAATCATAATATACATGCTACATTGTAAATTAAAAGTAACAAAAAAAATGGTGGCTCAGCTCCAAGAATCTGCACTATTCTTCTCCGTAGTGCATTAAGAAAAGTGAACTACAAAACTTCTTCAATATAAAATAAAATTAAGTCTCTAAGACTAATAAAGAGGAAAAGTGAAAAATACCACAGAAAAGTTAAATTATAGCTCTTACAAGTCTGCATGTTTGAACTTGCCAGCACATCAGAAAGGATATTTAATTAGACAAATGATTATATTATAAAGGTGTTCATATTATATAGTGAAACCATAATGTCAGTCAGGAGAAAATAATATAAAAATGTAAGATATTATAATAAAATTATACTCATAGATATACTTTGATGAAAATCGTATTTATATAAAAACCTAATAATTTAACTTAAGAGTTTAATCTTTTACTCTAAACACACTGATTAAATTGCTCTTCAAGCCAATACCCTTTACTTTTCTAATTGCTCTGCAAACTATATTAAATTTTATTTAACGTATTTTGTTTGGAATAAACCTACAAGTCTATCATGATTATCATTTTTCTTTCTCAATTCTGTATTACTTTATTTCACAGATTGCAATCTATTATTGACGTTAAGATTTTATGATTTGGTTTAAAGACTCATGATTCACCAACTTCAATAACAAAAAAATTTATTCCAAAGTTTTGATAATCACTACTCCATGTATAGTGATTAATGAAAGAGAAACTACAAGTTCTCACCGAAAATAACAAAAACATAGAAAAAAATCTCAATATATGTCTACAGTCTTGTAAAATTTAATTCCAAGAATATATTATAACAAACTACCTGGAACTGAACCCTTACGTATTACTTAATGTCTGCCCTAATCATTATATTTTTAAATGGTCATTAAAATTAGTATCCACTGTTATATATTTATAGTTTCCCACCAAAATGACAAAAAGGTTTATGCTAGGAGAATAAAAGCTTATGAATTTACTGATTAAAATGAGAAAATAAATGTCAAACATCCACATATATGTCTATGCAGATAACTTACAAGCGATAAAGCCGTAAATATCGTTAAAACCCAATCTCCATTTCCATCAGCATGTGTTAGATGACCATGGTGCAACTTTGCTATCACACCATAAAAAAGATTAACAACAATGGTTACACTCAGTCTACTCCAAAAAAAAACCGATTAATTTACAAAACGAAAACACAGCAAATAATAGGAAACCAAAACAGTTTTATCAATAACAGAACATACACATAAAAGCACAAGTTTTATAAAACACATGACATATGACATATTTAAAAGAGTTTAATTTCCATGTCTCAGTGTAATTTCTTTTGCTAAACTAATCACAAATTATTATTTGAATGACTTTAACTAATTATTGTAAAAGTATTTTATGGTATGATTTTATGGAAGCTTTTGCTCAGCAGGCTGCCAGATGATAAGGAAATGCAGTTCAGAGGAGATGTTCTGTGTTCCATGTGTTCTCTATGTAAAACAAATGAAGAATCAATTCACCATCTATTTTTTTAGAGTGATACTGCTGTTTATCTTTGGTCTTTTGGCTGCAGGAGATTTTTTCTTATATGCATTGTTTGAATTCAACTCAGCTTATTGATTTTATCTAGTCTCCAAGTAGTGTTCTAATAAAACTGTTCCAGCAAACATATAAAAGAGTTAGTAAGTTTGACCAGTAACTCTTCCATCAAACATATACACAATGATATAAAGGATTATTGGTTCTGAAATTTTTTGACAACAACACTACACCGGGGAGAGGAACAACTAACATACAAGTTCTTTGGAAATTTCCAGATATAGGTTGAGTTAAAGTAAGAACATGCATGGTGTAGCTTGTTGGTGTCTAGATAATGTCGCTTGTGCTAGGTCTAGACGTACTAGAGGTGAATATAGTTGACGTTTCTCATCATTTTTTGGGGCCTGTTTCGATCATAAAACATTCTCAGGTGGCTGGATGCAGGAGGCTTTGGTTAGAAACTTAGTCATCTTTGTTATGTAAGACATTTATTGGATAGTCTCTTAGAGAAAGTGTTTGGGAATATGTAATCAAATGAAGTTTAAATATTCTCATAGAAGGTATACATTGTGCTGATAAATTAGCTTTTTTGGACTTAGATTATAAAATTCACTATAAATGGTATGATATTATGCCATCAAAGATTCTTCTTGAGTTCTTTCATAATAGTTTTAAGCCGTTAAGTGCAATTATGCGCCACAGTCTAACAGTGCAATTATGCGCCACATTCTAAAAAAGTGAACAGTGCAATTATGCGCCAACAAAAAGGAGCAAAGAAAACGAAACGAACCTAAGAGTTTGTAGTATGCCCGGTGAATAATCGAAGTACCGTCAATGATCATAACTCTGCTATTTAAAGGATCGGCGTTCGTCACACGTTCTCCTTTGGCAGCTGAACCTAACCGCAGCACTTGACCGGTTCCAAATGCAGTGTCAGGAACCAAAGCTGACGAAGTTGCAGGAACAGCTCCTAGCGAATCTGTAGAAGCACTGCAATAGCCCTAATGTGGAAAGACAGAGTGAGGGAAAGAGAAAGAGAAAAGAGAGATTTCAAAAGCGACAATGACACAGTACAGAGCAGCGTCAAATACTGGTAATTTCTTTACCTTGGAGTGTAGCGCGTCCGAAGAATGAAACAGAGTGGGAGTTCGAAGATTGCGAGAGAAAGTCCTGGTGGTGCTGTTGGGAAGGAGTGGAAGCTTTCTCCACAGGGAATGAGAGTGAAGAAACAAATAGTGGTACTTATAACAGCACGCCATTTGAGAACTTCGGTTCTATTGCATTGAAGTAGAAGTAAGGCACGGCATAGGAAGGGAGAGCCACTGTCAGAAAAATAGAAAAGAGAATGAAAGAGTTCGGCTGTGTCAAAGAGGGAACAAAATTATCAATTTTGGGTTGGGCTGAAGGAGAGACCCATTATTGTTTTTTGCACGCTCCTTCTTTGGGCTGCACCCCCATCAAATTTCTGGGGAGAGATGAATGTCTGCTAAAAAATTCGAAACTGATTTAGTGTATTCCGGAAATCAAAATCAGTTTAATGGGATGCATGACAAAATTTGATGGAAGCAGGAAGAAACACCTTACTTCTTTTTAGTTAAAGTTTAAGGATTTAAAATATTTATTTGTTCCATAAAAATACCCCTTAACAATTTATTCACTTAATAAAAGTTGAGGAAAATTACAGTGAGTTTTACTTACCATATTTGTTTTAAAGTTTTAACAAATACTAGTTAATTATTATTTCATCAATTTATAAATTTTATTTTATAATTTTAAAATTTTATGAAAATAAATGAAAAAGTTAAATAAATGATCAGGTTAGTCCTAATAAATTATAAAATTTATGATAATTTTATAAAACATATACAAATAGAAATTATAAATTATATAATAAATTTATATTGCACAAAAGTAAAGTAATTTTAAAATTATATAATTATATAATAATATATTTAAATAAAATGTATTATATTCACATCCACATTAGTTTTTTATAGAGAGCATGCAAAAATAAGTTTAAAACATTAAAAAAACAAAAATATTTAATATATTTAAAATTGTATAGGATGCATATCAGATTTGTTCCAAAATAATTTTTTTCCTTTATATTCTTTTCATCCTCCTACCAATGTAGCCTAAACCCTTATTCTCTCTCTCTCTCTCTCTCCTCACTTTCTCTTGGCTGCTGTTGTCCCCTTCACAGTACCTTCTCCTTGCTGGTGCACTTTACAACACCATTTGCATTCTGAACTGTGCCCTCTCAGAACTCGCATCACTAACTCGTGACTTTCTCAAGGTAACCTCCACCTTTTATTGCCAACAAACATTCTCTGTTCTAACATCTTTCAATTTGTATGCCTCCCCACCTTTTTTTTTTTTAATTTTAGTTAAACTTTATTCTAAGAGCCCTATTATGTTAATGGGTTTTTTATTTTTGTGTCTAAATGAGTTTAAAGTCTATGGCTCTGTTGCTGCCGAATACTTTGAGTTATATTGTTTAGTTTCCTTGGCAGTTACTTAAATTCCTTTGTTCCGCTGTATTGCTAGAAAAGTCCTGAGTTTTCCTTTGCTTTGTTGTTTTTGTTTGATTCTAAACAAGGTTACCATGATGGGCTTTTTGGGTGGGGTGTTGTTCACTGATTTTATGTGTGAATGTTCTTTATAAGTAGCCAGCACTCCCATATTTACTTTTAACTATGCCTTTCTTTAATTTTACATCATTGTGTTTAGAACACTTTGTTTTAATTTCTATGAACTTATAACTATGTTCATGTGAAACCATTCTGGGTTTTGGTATCAATGCCCTACTCAGCTCAACCATCTAAGGCTTGAATTCTATATAATTTGATCTGCAGTAGAAAAATTCTACTAGAAATAGAACAAAATTGAGATTTTGTTAAGAGTTTCATGTGACTACTATGGTTTATATATTAAAGGTTAGGGTGAGAATGAAACAGTTTTTAGGACAATTATTTTTCTTCTCCAAGATTAAGGTACCATTATGACCATTTGCACTAAATATTCCTGTTAAAAATTTAGTTTCTGGAAACTGTGTTATTTTACTAGTGGTTCTAGAATTTTTTAAATAAATCATTGCCCTTTGATGATAAAGTTTGTTGACAACATGGATAGAAGATAGTTAAAATAGATATAGAAGAATACAATGTAATTCACAAAAATAAAGAGTTAAAATTCACTAAAAAAAATTGAATGTTATTAGATATAATAAAAAGTAAATTGAATATACAAATATATTTTTCTTGTTTGTTAAATCTTATTAATGATGATTCTATTTGAATTTTAAGTTAAGGCAGTATTAGTTTCTGAGAGAGTAGGTAAATCATTGTGAAGATTTAGAACTGTGACTGAAATTAGCAAAACAGAATTCTTGTGTTAGCTGCCAGTAAAAGAGAAATTAAGAATGGTGAATTAATCTTTGTTCGTATATGTATTTTAGTCTTGGAATCAAATATGCGAAAGAATTGAAGATCCTTATTCTAGACAATTTTCTTTATCTTTTCTTTCTTTGCACTTCACTGGGTGGAAATTTTCATCTATATTCTATGTTTTCTCCGGTTGGTGGTGAAGAACGACACAATAGTATGGGGAAAAAAGGAGGTAGAAGTCATCAGAAGAAAGAAGGAAAAAACTCTAAAACAAGCTCTCAACACAAGCGTGATGCTTATTCTTATTCCAGTGACGACATGGATGATGAGATTGATACATGTAACTCCATTTGTTCATTTTTATTCATTTATTTTTCTCAGAGAAGTAATAATTCTTTTGTTTCATTTGCTGTAACCTACACTTTTAATCTCCATTCTAATTTTTATAGTTTTGGCCTTCTTGTGCTGACTCACTTGTCTGATGCTTTGATTTTGAAGTTCATAAGCAGAGGGACATTGTCCCCCTTAACATAAATGATGGTACTGAAGAGTCAGATGAAGATGAGGAGCTTCCCATTTTTGATGTTAAGGTTTTGGTTACCCTAAACTTATTTTTATTTTTTTAAATTGCACATACTTTTTCTTTAACTCTATGAAACACGACAGATTAAACTTCTATGTGTTATCTGTTTGCTTAACAATTAAAACAGGATTTTAGTGACAAATTGTATATTTTTGTCTCATTTCTGTTCTTTCATATATTGGTCGAAGGATGTTGATGAGTATGATGAAGATGATGATGATGACGATGAGGAAGATGATGATGATGATGAGGAGGAAGATGATGACGATGAAGAAGATGATGGGAATGGCCATTTGGCAAAAAGTATGATATTTTATGTTTGACATATACATACGTACATATATATGTATATATGTGTGTGTATGTATACATACATACACAAACACACAAATTTACATATCTGAATCTTCAAAGTGTTATAGAGATGGATGATGGTGTTAATAGTTGAGACAGTACATATATCATTTTTATGCAAATATATCATCTCTACTCAACTGCTGTAGCTGGACCATGATATAGAATCACAATGCATGCCTTTTCTGTGTACTTTTCTGAAAGGATTTGGTATAAATGGTAAATTTTGTTACAACCTTCTGTTAACGTAAAAGCTATCCAGCTGTTTGCAATTAACCTCTAATTAATACTTTAAAGCCTATTTATATGTAACTTGTTTTTGAAATAGAAACTGGAAAATTACAAATTTTACAAGTTTTCTGGTTGTTAGTATATATTGATTTACAGACTGCAGATTTTAACAATCTGTCTTTGTCAAATCTTATGTTCAGTTTGTAAAATGGTTAGTTAGTGTGTGTTTAGATTCCTGTTCTGGTGGTTTTACTTAACAGTTTTCACATTCCATTGCGTTAAATTTCGAAACTATAATCTGATAGATTTGCACCAGGCACCAAAACACACACTTCGTCTTAAATTGATTAGCTAAAATCAGCAAACATTTTGGACTTGATAAATAATTTATAAAAATAAAAGGCGCTAATATGTACTCAAGTTGGTGCTCGTATGTTGTGAATTCATGTTTGTTGAATTTCTTGGTTAAGAGTGTCTTTATAGTTTTGGACTTGTGAAAAGAATTCTTGTTAAGTCCCTTGGTTACTTGTGCAAATTCTATTGAAGTGGTGTAATTTCACTACATGGTGTAATTTCAATGAAGTGTAATTATGTTTTTGTAGCTTTGGTTCTAATTATGCCGAATGATGTTGGATGTTCCATGTAGCTAACCTCAACTAGTGATATAAGGCTTTGTTGGTTTTTGTAATCTCACTAAATTAATGTGTATGTTGTACGTAGTGATCAGGCAAAGGAAATACTTACGTTCAAAGTTTGGGGGAGGTGATGATACAATTGATGATGGTGATGAAGATGAGGATGAGGATGGTTATAAACTTACTTTAGGTGGGAAAAAATTCTCACATGGTGCTGAAAATCGTAATTTTGAGGTGAGAATTTGAGCAATGCATGTAAAAGCAAAACAAAAATGCTTCCATATGCAACATTTAAACCATCAATAAGTAGATTTTCTCTTGGCAGTGGATCTTTAGCCTAACATTTATTTGTTTACTTATGCATTTTATAGTTTCTGTTGAGTAATCATAAAATTTTGGTTTAAGCTTCAATCAAGTGATGATGAGGCCCCCAAAGAAGAGGAAGAATTGGCATTACAAATACAAAGGGAGAAGGCAAAATCCTTGACAATGGAAGACTATGACCTTGTGGATTTAAGTGAAGACAAAGATAATGGGAAATTAACTTTGAAGGTGAGTGCTGCTGATTATCTTATTGTTTGTGGTCAATTTCCATAGTACTAGAGGAGAAACATAATGGAGGAAGAAAAAATAGGGAAATTCAACATTTGGTGAAAGGCATATATGATATCTGATTATAAACTTCAAGTGAACTTCTATATATGTACAGGAGGCATCAGATAAAGGAAACGAAGCAATAAAGCCACTGGATAGGGATATAATTTTCAGTGTTGATGAATTGAATTCTTTGACAAAGGAGGAGCAAATGAATGTTTTATATAGGTTGGGATGCTGTGTTTATCTTTCAGCATATTGATTGAGTTATAAATTGTAATGTTACCTTTTCATGCATTTCCTTAGCTTAATTTCTGCCATATTCACTATTAATGGATTAGTATAAGGTATTCAGATGTATTTGTATTAAAACATATATATGTCAATGTTATCATTTTCATATGCTTCTTCTTGACTAGTAACTATCTTCTCCTTCCAGGTCTGCTCCAGAATTAGTTGGTTGGTTGTCTGAACTAAATGAGGCACACAAACAACTTGAATGTGAAATTAATCCATTTTTAAGCAAGGTTTTTGCTCTTCTACCTTTTCTTTTCTGTTATCCTTGACTTGCAAACCATGTAAAAAGAGTTTACCATGTGTTATATATATTAGATATATTAGATATCTATCTTTTGTCTTTTGTTTATCTGTTATTATTTATTTTCTATCATATTTGTAATTTAGGCNTATGACATATTTAAAAGAGTTTAATTTCCATGTCTCAGTGTAATTTCTTTTGCTAAACTAATTACAAATTATTATTTGAATGACTTTAACTAATTATTGTAAAAGTATTTTATGGTATGATTTTATGGAAGCTTTTGCTCAGCAGGCTGCCAGATGATAAGGAAATGCAGTTCAGAGGAGATGTTCTGTGTTCCATGTGTTCTCTATGTAAAACAAATGAAGAATCAATTCACCATCTATTTTTTTAGAGTGATACTGCTGTTTATCTTTGGTCTTTTGGCTGCAGGAGATTTTTTCTTATATGCATTGTTTGAATTCAACTCAGCTTATTGATTTTATCTAGTCTCCAAGTAGTGTTCTAATAAAACTGTTCCAGCAAACATATAAAAGAGTTAGTAAGTTTGACCAGTAACTCTTCCAACAAACATATACACAATGATATAAAGGATTATTGGTTCTGAAATTTTTTGACAACAACACTACACCGGGGAGAGGAACAACTAACATACAAGTTCTTTGGAAATTTCCAGATATAGGTTGAGTTAAAGTAAGAACATGCATGGTGTAGCTTGTTGGTGTCTAGATAATGTCGCTTGTGCTAGGTCTAGACGTACTAGAGGTGAATATAGTTGACGTTTCTCATCATTTTTTGGGGCCTGTTTCGATCATAAAACATTCTCAGGTGGCTGGATGCAGGAGGCTTTGGTTAGAAACTTAGTCATCTTTGTTATGTAAGACATTTATTGGATAGTCTCTTAGAGAAAGTGTTTGGGAATATGTAATCAAATGAAGTTTAAATATTCTCATAGAAGGTATACATTGTGCTGATAAATTAGCTTTTTTGGACTTAGATTATAAAATTCACTATAAATGGTATGATATTATGCCATCAAAGATTCTTCTTGAGTTCTTTCATAATAGTTTTAAGCCGTTAAGTGCAATTATGCGCCACAGTCTAACAGTGCAATTATGCGCCACATTCTAAAAAAGTGAACAGTGCAATTATGCGCCAACAAAAAGGAGCAAAGAAAACGAAACGAACCTAAGAGTTTGTAGTATGCCCGGTGAATAATCGAAGTACCGTCAATGATCATAACTCTGCTATTTAAAGGATCGGCGTTCGTCACACGTTCTCCTTTGGCAGCTGAACCTAACCGCAGCACTTGACCGGTTCCAAATGCAGTGTCAGGAACCAAAGCTGACGAAGTTGCAGGAACAGCTCCTAGCGAATCTGTAGAAGCACTGCAATAGCCCTAATGTGGAAAGACAGAGTGAGGGAAAGAGAAAGAGAAAAGAGAGATTTCAAAAGCGACAATGACACAGTACAGAGCAGCGTCAAATACTGGTAATTTCTTTACCTTGGAGTGTAGCGCGTCCGAAGAATGAAACAGAGTGGGAGTTCGAAGATTGCGAGAGAAAGTCCTGGTGGTGCTGTTGGGAAGGAGTGGAAGCTTTCTCCACAGGGAATGAGAGTGAAGAAACAAATAGTGGTACTTATAACAGCACGCCATTTGAGAACTTCGGTTCTATTGCATTGAAGTAGAAGTAAGGCACGGCATAGGAAGGGAGAGCCACTGTCAGAAAAATAGAAAAGAGAATGAAAGAGTTCGGCTGTGTCAAAGAGGGAACAAAATTATCAATTTTGGGTTGGGCTGAAGGAGAGACCCATTATTGTTTTTTGCACGCTCCTTCTTTGGGCTGCACCCCCATCAAATTTCTGGGGAGAGATGAATGTCTGCTAAAAAATTCGAAACTGATTTAGTGTATTCCGGAAATCAAAATCAGTTTAATGGGATGCATGACAAAATTTGATGGAAGCAGGAAGAAACACCTTACTTCTTTTTAGTTAAAGTTTAAGGATTTAAAATATTTATTTGTTCCATAAAAATACCCCTTAACAATTTATTCACTCAATAAAAGTTGAGGAAAATTACAGTGAGTTTTACTTACCATATTTGTTTTAAAGTTTTAACAAATACTAGTTAATTATTATTTCATCAATTTATAAATTTTATTTTATAATTTTAAAATTTTATGAAAATAAATGAAAAAGTTAAATAAATGATCAGGTTAGTCCTAATAAATTATAAAATTTATGATAATTTTATAAAACATATACAAATAGAAATTATAAATTATATAATAAATTTATATTGCACAAAAGTAAAGTAATTTTAAAATTATATAATTATATAATAATATATTTAAATAAAATGTATTATATTCACATCCACATTAGTTTTTTATAGAGAGCATGCAAAAATAAGTTTAAAACATTAAAAAAACAAAAATATTTAATATATTTAAAATTGTATAGGATGCATATCAGATTTGTTCCAAAATAATTTTTTTCCTTTATATTCTTTTCATCCTCCTACCAATGTAGCCTAAACCCTTATTCTCTCTCTCTCTCTCTCTCCTCACTTTCTCTTGGCTGCTGTTGTCCCCTTCACAGTACCTTCTCCTTGCTGGTGCACTTTACAACACCATTTGCATTCTGAACTGTGCCCTCTCAGAACTCGCATCACTAACTCGTGACTTTCTCAAGGTAACCTCCACCTTTTATTGCCAACAAACATTCTCTGTTCTAACATCTTTCAATTTGTATGCCTCCCCACCTTTTTTTTTTTTAATTTTAGTTAAACTTTATTCTAAGAGCCCTATTATGTTAATGGGTTTTTTATTTTTGTGTCTAAATGAGTTTAAAGTCTATGGCTCTGTTGCTGCCGAATACTTTGAGTTATATTGTTTAGTTTCCTTGGCAGTTACTTAAATTCCTTTGTTCCGCTGTATTGCTAGAAAAGTCCTGAGTTTTCCTTTGCTTTGTTGTTTTTGTTTGATTCTAAACAAGGTTACCATGATGGGCTTTTTGGGTGGGGTGTTGTTCACTGATTTTATGTGTGAATGTTCTTTATAAGTAGCCAGCACTCCCATATTTACTTTTAACTATGCCTTTCTTTAATTTTACATCATTGTGTTTAGAACACTTTGTTTTAATTTCTATGAACTTATAACTATGTTCATGTGAAACCATTCTGGGTTTTGGTATCAATGCCCTACTCAGCTCAACCATCTAAGGCTTGAATTCTATATAATTTGATCTGCAGTAGAAAAATTCTACTAGAAATAGAACAAAATTGAGATTTTGTTAAGAGTTTCATGTGACTACTATGGTTTATATATTAAAGGTTAGGGTGAGAATGAAACAGTTTTTAGGACAATTATTTTTCTTCTCCAAGATTAAGGTACCATTATGACCATTTGCACTAAATATTCCTGTTAAAAATTTAGTTTCTGGAAACTGTGTTATTTTACTAGTGGTTCTAGAATTTTTTAAATAAATCATTGCCCTTTGATGATAAAGTTTGTTGACAACATGGATAGAAGATAGTTAAAATAGATATAGAAGAATACAATGTAATTCACAAAAATAAAGAGTTAAAATTCACTAAAAAAAATTGAATGTTATTAGATATAATAAAAAGTAAATTGAATATACAAATATATTTTTCTTGTTTGTTAAATCTTATTAATGATGATTCTATTTGAATTTTAAGTTAAGGCAGTATTAGTTTCTGAGAGAGTAGGTAAATCATTGTGAAGATTTAGAACTGTGACTGAAATTAGCAAAACAGAATTCTTGTGTTAGCTGCCAGTAAAAGAGAAATTAAGAATGGTGAATTAATCTTTGTTCGTATATGTATTTTAGTCTTGGAATCAAATATGCGAAAGAATTGAAGATCCTTATTCTAGACAATTTTCTTTATCTTTTCTTTCTTTGCACTTCACTGGGTGGAAATTTTCATCTATATTCTATGTTTTCTCCGGTTGGTGGTGAAGAACGACACAATAGTATGGGGAAAAAAGGAGGTAGAAGTCATCAGAAGAAAGAAGGAAAAAACTCTAAAACAAGCTCTCAACACAAGCGTGATGCTTATTCTTATTCCAGTGACGACATGGATGATGAGATTGATACATGTAACTCCATTTGTTCATTTTTATTCATTTATTTTTCTCAGAGAAGTAATAATTCTTTTGTTTCATTTGCTGTAACCTACACTTTTAATCTCCATTCTAATTTTTATAGTTTTGGCCTTCTTGTGCTGACTCACTTGTCTGATGCTTTGATTTTGAAGTTCATAAGCAGAGGGACATTGTCCCCCTTAACATAAATGATGGTACTGAAGAGTCAGATGAAGATGAGGAGCTTCCCATTTTTGATGTTAAGGTTTTGGTTACCCTAAACTTATTTTTATTTTTTTAAATTGCACATACTTTTTCTTTAACTCTATGAAACACGACAGATTAAACTTCTATGTGTTATCTGTTTGCTTAACAATTAAAACAGGATTTTAGTGACAAATTGTATATTTTTGTCTCATTTCTGTTCTTTCATATATTGGTCGAAGGATGTTGATGAGTATGATGAAGATGATGATGATGACGATGAGGAAGATGATGATGATGATGAGGAGGAAGATGATGACGATGAAGAAGATGATGGGAATGGCCATTTGGCAAAAAGTATGATATTTTATGTTTGACATATACATACGTACATATATATGTATATATGTGTGTGTATGTATACATACATACACAAACACACAAATTTACATATCTGAATCTTCAAAGTGTTATAGAGATGGATGATGGTGTTAATAGTTGAGACAGTACATATATCATTTTTATGCAAATATATCATCTCTACTCAACTGCTGTAGCTGGACCATGATATAGAATCACAATGCATGCCTTTTCTGTGTACTTTTCTGAAAGGATTTGGTATAAATGGTAAATTTTGTTACAACCTTCTGTTAACGTAAAAGCTATCCAGCTGTTTGCAATTAACCTCTAATTAATACTTTAAAGCCTATTTATATGTAACTTGTTTTTGAAATAGAAACTGGAAAATTACAAATTTTACAAGTTTTCTGGTTGTTAGTATATATTGATTTACAGACTGCAGATTTTAACAATCTGTCTTTGTCAAATCTTATGTTCAGTTTGTAAAATGGTTAGTTAGTGTGTGTTTAGATTCCTGTTCTGGTGGTTTTACTTAACAGTTTTCACATTCCATTGCGTTAAATTTCGAAACTATAATCTGATAGATTTGCACCAGGCACCAAAACACACACTTCGTCTTAAATTGATTAGCTAAAATCAGCAAACATTTTGGACTTGATAAATAATTTATAAAAATAAAAGGCGCTAATATGTACTCAAGTTGGTGCTCGTATGTTGTGAATNCTGCAGATTTTAACAATCTGTCTTTGTCAAATCTTATGTTCAGTTTGTAAAATGGTTAGTTAGTGTGTGTTTAGATTCCTGTTCTGGTGGTTTTACTTAACAGTTTTCACATTCCATTGCGTTAAATTTCGAAACTATAATCTGATAGATTTGCACCAGGCACCAAAACACACACTTTGTCTTAAATTGATTAGCTAAAATCAGCAAACATTTTGGACTTGATAAATAATTTATAAAAATAAAAGGCGCTAATATGTACTCAAGTTGGTGCTCGTATGTTGTGAATTCATGTTTGTTGAATTTCTTGGTTAAGAGTGTCTTTATAGTTTTGGACTTGTGAAAAGAATTCTTGTTAAGTCCCTTGGTTACTTGTGCAAATTCTATTGAAGTGGTGTAATTTCACTACATGGTGTAATTTCAATGAAGTGTAATTATGTTTTTGTAGCTTTGGTTCTAATTATGCCGAATGATGTTGGATGTTCCATGTAGCTAACCTCAACTATTGATATAAGGCTTTGTTGGTTTTTGTAATCTCACTAAATTAATGTGTATGTTGTTCGTAGTGATTAGGCAAAGGAAATACTTACGTTCAAAGTTTGGGGGAGGTGATGATACAATTGATGATGGTGATGAAGATGAGGATGAGGATGGTTATAAACTTACTTTAGGTGGGAAAAAATTCTCACATGGTGCTGAAAATCGTAATTTTGAGGTGAGAATTTGAGCAATGCATGTAAAAGCAAAACAAAAATGCTTCCATATGCAACATTTAAACCATCAATAAGTAGATTTTCTCTTGGCAGTGGATCTTTAGCCTAACATTTATTTGTTTACTTATGCATTTTATAGTTTCTGTTGAGTAATCATAAAATTTTGGTTTAAGCTTCAATCAAGTGATGATGAGGCCCCCAAAGAAGAGGAAGAATTGGCATTACAAATACAAAGGGAGAAGGCAAAATCCTTGACAATGGAAGACTATGACCTTGTGGATTTAAGTGAAGACAAAGATAATGGGAAATTAACTTTGAAGGTGAGTGCTGCTGATTATCTTATTGTTTGTGGTCAATTTCCATAGTACTAGAGGAGAAACATAATGGAGGAAGAAAAAATAGGGAAATTCAACATTTGGTGAAAGGCATATATGATATCTGATTATAAACTTCAAGTGAACTTCTATATATGTACAGGAGGCATCAGATAAAGGAAACGAAGCAATAAAGCCACTGGATAGGGATATAATTTTCAGTGTTGATGAATTGAATTCTTTGACAAAGGAGGAGCAAATGAATGTTTTATATAGGTTGGGATGCTGTGTTTATCTTTCAGCATATTGATTGAGTTATAAATTGTAATGTTACCTTTTCATGCATTTCCTTAGCTTAATTTCTGCCATATTCACTATTAATGGATTAGTATAAGGTATTCAGATGTATTTGTATTAAAACATATATATGTCAATGTTATCATTTTCATATGCTTCTTCTTGACTAGTAACTATCTTCTCCTTCCAGGTCTGCTCCAGAATTAGTTGGTTGGTTGTCTGAACTAAATGAGGCACACAAACAACTTGAATGTGAAATTAATCCATTTTTAAGCAAGGTTTTTGCTCTTCTACCTTTTCTTTTCTGTTATCCTTGACTTGCAAACCATGTAAAAAGAGTTTACCATGTGTTATATATATTAGATATATTAGATATCTATCTTTTGTCTTTTGTTTATCTGTTATTATTTATTTTCTATCATATTTGTAATTTAGGCTTAGTCCATATTCTATTTATTACAAGTACAGTACCTATGTGTATTTTTTACACAAGGTAGATTACTCCTATACCTATTTTTCTCTATTTTCAACAACCTGTATAAATATAAAAGTACTTATTTTATATAGAAGAGTCAGTAAACTTATTGTATCTATCAACAATATACCTAGGGAGGCTTTCCTGTTATTACGTTTAAGTCATTCATTCTTTTGTTTTTGTTTCTTTTAGCCATGGTTCTCTTTATTTTTTTCTTTCTATTGAGATATTCTGTTAGAGGAAGTTCTTCTGCTGTGATCATTACAGTGCAAATGCTTTTAAATCTGCCTCTTCATTTACCTGTGTTACGGGGTTAATGTAAAACATGTGGTCTATACCCTTGCTTTCTTATGGTAATTACCTCCCCGTGCATGAATAGTGTATTGCGTTACAATTATTTTTATCTTATGTGCAGGTTGAAACGGGGAAAATAGTTATGAAAGGAGAAGCACGTTATTTTGAGTTGAAGCAGCTTATTTTGTTGTCCTATTGCCAAGCTATAACGTTCTACCTTCTCCTCAAATCTGAAGGGCAGTCAGTCCATGATCATCCCATAACAGCTCGCCTTGAAGAGATTAAGAAATTATCTGATCAGGTCTTATTATTTTCAAACTAGATAACTGCTTTGACTGTAAGGTTCTACTTTCCAAAATCATTTACCATATTATTATGGTTAACATAGTGATATAAAGAGCTTCTGTCCGTTGGAGAGCCAAGAGATCACTTATTCATGCCTTGGCTTTCTTTTATACTGTCAGTTAGTGCAGTAACCTGGAAGTAGTATATGAAAGGGCATAGACATGTGATATGACTGACATGTCTTCATTGGTCCTCTTCTATTATATAATCAATGTTTGAACTAAATTTACTAGAGATATATTAGCTTATATTGGATAATTTATTATATTGCATGCACCCTATGTTGGCAGCCCTGCTTACACTGGAAAAACGGGTATAATTCATGCTAGATTAGTGAATTGATTTTCTAACACGATGTCGTCAACTGTGCATAGTTATCTACTGACGTTTACTCATTGATATGCAATTGTCACAAATATCAGATTTGAGATGAAGTTTGTTTTCCTAGATTTTACAAATTTTCTAACGTGTGTCTCTCAACAGATAAAACAACTTGACAGAAAACTTCCAGTTAAACTTGAAGACATTCTTGTAGGAAATAATGGGTTAGAAACAGTATTAAAGTCAGATAATGAGAATTCTCCAATGGCAATTGATTCTATCACTAAAAACCAAGAGCAGCCTCCTGTCTCTGCCAAATCAGGAGAAGAAGCAGTGGTAGTCATCACTTATTAATTTTGGCTTTTATTGTTATCTGTTCCAAATGATAACTTTAAAAAAATTTCTCAACGGTCAACAATTTTCTGTGTTGCTGCAGCCTAGCAATCAAGATATACAAAAATTGGGATCCTCAAATGAGGGTGTACAGAAAACAAGAAAAGTTAAGCCTCAGGTGAATTATGGATCATGACAAGATGTTTTGTACTATTACTTAGTTTCTACTTTCTATTGAATAAATAATTACCTTTTTATTTGATTTATTTTTCTTGGTTCAAAAAACTATTAATTTGACTGAAATCAACCTTAATATGGCAGAAGGACCACATTGGCGCACAGAGTTTGGAGATGCTAAAAGTTAGAGCTTCCCTTGAGGAAAAACTGAAGAAAAAGGGTCTGTATGTTGCTCCAAAGCCTACTAATGGAGTAAAGCGTTCAAGGCCAGTTAATGGGTATGACTTTATTCTTCTATTCTTTACATTACTTGTTTCAAACATGTTGGAACTTAGCCACGTACAAATTTCACAGCCAGCTTGAAACATATGATGATTTTAATGATGATAATGAAGATGTCACCCGGGAAGGAAGATTAATTAATGGTTCTAGCTACAAAAAGGTTTCACAGTTCCTCAATGCTAATATGAAGAAACCCAAGGTACTTAACTTCAAAGTTTTGCCTGATGAATTCTTATTTCTGTTTCATTGGCTATTTTATAGTGTCGTAGATTTTAAGTCACTTGAAAAAGTGTCGTCTTAACCACTCTATAATGATCAAGGATACAGTGGTCAAAATTAGTGGAAGAACTTGGGTCCTTAATTATGCTTTGGTTTAACCTTATGTCCTCAGGACCTTTGGTGTGAAAAAATCTCACCTTCAGTGCCTTGCCATACGCTAGCATAGTCTCCCACCAGAGGTGGAGGAATGTTCTGGCAATCAGTGTCATTTTGATGTTATTTTCTATCTATTAGCAGCGAAATAAAGTTATATGTACAATTTGAACAAGATCAGAGTTTTGTTTTGACTTAACCTGTTTGATATATGATAATATATACTACCACAAGTCCCAAAGTCTTCTCTAATATTGAGAGATGTTTCGGTATACTTTTAATAACTCTTTTGTTATACTAATTACTAAATAAAAACTCTTGTTTAGGCTACAACAATTTCACTTTTTATATAACCGGTTAATGTCTAACTGATCTCTTCTTTTGAGTAAGGTGGTTTCTGGTGATGATGATTTACCCAAGAGAGATGAAATTGGTGAAAGACGAAGGAAACACGAGCTTCGGGTGTTGGCTGGTGCTGGAATTAAGACTGAGGACGATGATGACAGTGACAGGGATGATCAAATGGGTGGTGACCTTGGACCTGATGAGGTTGAGGATGCGGATGATGATGATGATGATAATGGAAGTGGGGACTCAGAAAATGAATTTTACAAACAAGTGGAACAACTGCGAGCTGCAAAACTGGCAGCCAAAGCCGAGGCTTACTCAAGGTGAAATTTTGGTACCATTTTGGCTCTTTTGTAATATGTTAATGCTATGCCCTTGGCTATTTCAATTTTATTGTTGCCACCGTCTTCAATTTTGTAACAAAAGATTGATTGTTTTTTACAGGAACACTTCAGTCTCCTCACAGCTTGAGACTGTAGAAGGAAAACGCTTAATTTCTTCTCAGGTTCTTGCTCTATCTACTACGGTTTTTAATTGAATTGTTCATCTTTTCCTTCAAATTTAAAGATTTTTCCTTGTCACCAATTTCTGCAGATGGAGAAGAACAGGGGACTAACTCGCAATCGCAACAAGGCAAAAAAGAATCCCAGAAAGAACTACAAGGTACTCTCACTTTGATTGGGATGAACAAACTCCTAAAATTTTGCTGGTTAAGTGGTGTGTTTCTTGCTTGACATTTGTTATTTTTTTTCTTGTTATCTTAATGTTCTGCAGCTGAAGCATCAAAAAGCTGTTAAGAATCGTAAGGGACAGGTTCAGAGTATCAGGAGACCAACTGCTCCTTATGGAGGGGAAACCTCTGGAATTAATGCAGCTGTCAGTAGAAGCATCAGATTCAAGAGCTGATATCAATCACCTTCACACCATCTTTCCTAAATTATCCAATTTTGACTCGTTTACATATATTGAAGAATTTTGTTTGCTTATTACAGCAGTTGAGAAATTTTGGAGATAACATATATGACATATTAAGATTTTGCAATTTTGCCAATTTTAATACTGCCATTGATTTCTCCTATCGCTGACATTTTTCTTCAAGAAAAATCAAATGCAACTTAATATTATTTTAACAACAATTAGTGTTCGCATGATTGTATGTCATTCCAGGATTTCCAAAATGTTACCCCTTTATATCAGCTTTGAAAGGTACTTTTCAATGCTTTTTGTTCTGGTTTGAGCAAAGCCAAACAACTACTAGTTTTTTACAATTTTAAAATATTTTTACTACTTTTTCATTAAATAATCATTTAGTTTTAAAATATTACCATTGAACAATTTTTATAAAAAAACATTAGCTATTGTGAAATATTATATAATTTCAGTAAAAAATATTTATAAATGAGATAATCATATTGAAAAGTTAACTATTATTTTATTATATTAATTACAAAATTTATACATGAAAAAGTTCAATTACCACAATATAACACTAGATTTATAAAATAAGTGTACTTTTCATCTGGTCAACTTCGAACAACCAATCATCAATAGAATGGTTTATTCAAAATCAATGATCCTTTGGGTCGAGTTTCTTTGACTGATCATTCTGGAAAGAGTTTCTCTTAGCAGACTACTCCAACCTGACCTTTTAGACATCATTTTGTAGTCTATCACTTTGACCAAACAAGGCCAACCGGTTACAAAATTATCAGATTAACAATGAAATGATGAATCAACTTGTTAATGGTTCAGGTTAGGCACAAATAGGTCAGGCCAATTGAGACAAATTTGTTAAGGTTTAATTATTCATCATGCCTTTTTTTTGGTTGAGAATCTAAAATAGGCCCCTTACTTTTTTTTGTCTCAATTGGGTCCTTATTTTTGCAAAATTGCTACAATTAGAGCTCTGTCATTAAATTCGAGCAACGCCGTTAAAGTGATGCATACTTGATGTGAATATGTTTATTAAATGATATGGGCTAGTATTGTTTGGTTTGATTCTGACTTGTAAATTAAGCACTTTGAATAACGAAATTAGGGAAAAATTTAGTAAATTAGACTTCTTGAATTAGGAGTTGCGAAAAGAAGTGAGTGTTTCTTCGAATTGGGACCTCGCCGAAAAGAAAGTGAGTGTTTGTTCGAATTAGGGTTCATTGCCAAAAAGAAAGTGAGTGTTTGTTCGAATTAGGAATTAATCAAAGAAAGTGGAAATTAGGGTTTATAGCAGTTTCAAATTGAGCGCGAGGTTTCAAAGAAATTAGGGCTTTGGTCATTTTGGTGAGGTGTGGGACCTTGCGTCGTTGGAAGCACAAGGCTGAAACACGTGGTCATTGGAGCTAAATCTCAAGCAAGGTCAGTAATTGTGGTTTTGTTGTGATTTTTATGGTGAAACAATCAAACTATTAGGAGGGGTCCCCTGTGTTGAAATGGTTGCTTTGCGTTTTGTGCAAGTGAATCCCCAGTAGATTAAAGTGTTTACAGTCATATTTGAGTGGTTAATGTTATTATTTTAATCTTATTTTTGTCGTGTGTGTCATATGTACAATACATAGTTAGATATATTTTAATAGTGTATGGTGTGTAAGCCGAGGATATTGAGATTGTTTTCCCCCATAGAGACAGTTCGTATAATGATGGGACCCTGACTATGAAGGTGAGATTCTACTTTTGTCGTTGACTCTC